CTTCCTCCTGTTGTTTAAGGATTAAAGGCGTCAATGTGTATGAAGTGCTTAGCAGAGTGCCTGACATATAAATAGTGGCTAGTAAATGTTAGCGACAGGATGATTTTGATGCCAATGACAAAAACTCAAACTCAGGGAAAAAACGCAAAACTCCATATTTCCTATTTTATTTTATTCTATTTTATTTATTTTTTGTGAGGAAGATCAGCCCTGAGCTAACATCCATGCCAATCCTCCTCTTTTTGCTGAGGAAGATTGGCCCTGGGCTAACATCTGTGCCCATTTTTTTCCACTTTATATGGGATGCCGCCACAGCATGGCCTGACAAGCAGTGCATCGGTGCGTGCCTGGGATCGGAACCCAGGCCACCAGCAGCAGAGCGCGCGCACTTAACCACTACGCCACCGGGCTGGCCCTGAGGACGTTTTAAAAGAAAAATTTTGACTGGATTTTGGGGCTACCTCCCAAGAAAATGTAAGATTTAGCTCACCTCATTCTACTCATGCATCCATGCTACTGCAATGATGAAATTGATATGGGGCTGTAGATCCCCTCGAGGCCTTGGGAATGCCAGAGCTGAGCATGACCAGAAACTCCTTGGAAGAGTATCATCCCTATAAAAGACTGACCAGAGGGAAAGAGAGAGGAAAAGAAAAAACTGTGAAATTCCTAAGAAAGAGAGAAAGGGAGAAAGTAGAGTCAGATTGGAGGTGAGGTCAGGATTGGAGGTGAAAATGAATTTAAAGGGAGAATTAGGAGTTGGAACATTTGAGAGTCAGCACCTTTAGGGTTCTAGAAGAAATATAGCATTCTAACTGATCTTCCTAGTTTCCAGATGCTACAGACTCATGGAAAACCAATCCAGCATCTCTGAATCATTCCTCCAAGGAATATCTGAATCACAAAAGCAACAGCAGTTGTTCTTTGGAATTTTCCTGTGTGTGTATCTTGTCAGCTTGACTGGGAATGTGCTCATCATCCTGGTCATCCACTCTGACCCACACCTGCACATGCTCATGTACTTATTTTTGGCCAACCTGTCTCTTGTTGACATGGGTTTAACATCCTCCACAGTTACCAAGATGCTGGTAAACGTACAGACTCAGCAGCATACCATCTCCTATGCCGGTTGCCTCACACAAATGTATTTCTTTCAGATATTTGCTGATCTGGACAGCTTCTTCCTAGCTGTAATGGCCTATGACCACTATGTGGCCATTTGTCACCCTCTCCACTACTTCACAGTCATGAGTCCCAGAATCTGTGCCCTGCTGCTTGCACTGTGCTGGGTCCTCACCCACGTTGTTGCACTGACTCACACCCTCCTCATGGCTCAGCTGTCCTTCTGTGTTCTTGGGGAAATAACTCTCTTTTTCTGTGACATAATTCCTGTCCTGAAGCTGTCGTGTTCTGATACCCACATCAACGAGTTCATGATTTTTGCCTTAGGAGACACAGTACTCATCACCCCCTTTATATGCATTGTCATCTCCTACATCCACATTGTATTGGCCATACTAAAGGTCCAAATCTCTGGGGGAAGCAAGGCGTTTTCCACCTGCAGTTCCCATCTCTGTGTTGTCTGTGTGTTCTATGGGACCCTCTTAAGTGCCTGCCAGTGCCCGCCCTCTGTTGCCTCTGAGGAGAAGGACATGGCAGCAGCTGCCACGTACACAGTGGTGACCCCTATGTTGAACCCCTTTATCTATAGCCTAAGGAACAAGGACATGAAGGGGGGCCCTTAAGAAGCTTCTCAGTTGCAGAATTTATTCCTCTTAGATATAGTGATAGCAATACTTAATGAAAAGACATAGGCTTGGAGTCAGACAAACTTGGCTTTAGTTTTGGGTCTGCTACATACTAGCCAAAAGATGGTAGTCTTGTTACCTAACGTCTCTGAGCCCTAGCCTTCTCATTGAGGATTTAAAACAAAAGATAGAGGACCCTTAAAAGAGAAAGACAAAATGGACTTTGTCTGGCTAACTGAGACCTAAAACAATACAGAATCAAGTGGCCATGCCAGGACTGAGGTGCAGTTATATACTCTGTTCTTAGAAAAACTATAACTTGTAGCTGAAACTGGGCGTTCATTCTTCATGCATGGCCAGAAGCCTGATATAGCTGATTTTAGAACACCAGTATCTATAGGGGAACAGGCAAATCAAAGGGCTTTCAAAACAATCCCTGTGATCTATGGTTTTTGCCTTTATAAGCTCTGTGCTCCGACACCCTCCTGGGAGCATACTTCCGATTTATTTCAGAGGCTGCATCTTCCTGGTTTGCAAACTGTATGAGCAATAAAGCAGTTCGTAAATAAACTCTTGTAGTCCAGATATTTTTGTTGACATCATCTATAAAATGCAGATAATAATCTCTGTCTAATAAGGTGAGTTGGAAGATTAACTGAGATAAACTATGAAATGCATCTAGTATAGTGGCTAATACAATCATGTGCCATATAATGACATTTCAGTCAACGACGGGCTGCATATATGATGGTTGTCCCATAAGATTAGCATTTTATATCCTAGGTGTGTAGTAGGCTATGCCATCTAGGTTTATGTAAGTACACTCTATGATGTTCCTATAATGACAAAATTACCTAACAACGCATTTCTCAGAACATAGCCGTGTCATTAAGCAACGTATGACCGTAATAGTAGATTTTTAATGTGATAGCCATTATTATTATAACTGTTGTCACTCTTAATTGACCCCCACATCAAAAAGTAAAAAAATCCTTTCTCTGAGATTTATTCCTTCAACAAATATTTACCAGACACCTAGTATGTGCTAGGAGCTGTTATAAGTGCTGGGGACACAGCACTGAGCGAGACAATGTCCCTGGTTTCATGACACTTTAATTCTAGATTATAAACTTGTCAGTCATAAAACATTGGGGGGCATCTGTCTTTTTTTGTAACACTAAGTGGAGGTTAAGACAAAAGAAATAAAAGATGGAGGTTGCATTCCAGGAGGTGCAGAATAGTTTAAGAGTTCCCCATCAGAAGATTGAAATTCAATGTTTAGATTTCGAGACTGATTGCTCCATTTCCCACGGTTTGGGATTTCACCAGGAAGGATGTTAGAGCTCCTAGTGCTGACTCTTCTCTTGCTGGTCAGAAATGTTCAATGCCAGCATCCTTTTTGTGACCAGTAGGTGTGAACACTGCAAACTTCTTTCCCTATTCACCTTCAGATCCAAAAGGGTCACCAGCAGCTTAATTACTTGCAGATAGAAAAAAAAATATGTTTAAAGGCATATACATTTTTTTCTGCTTCCAGGAATCTTAGAAATATAAAAAAATATTATTTTTGAAAAATAAAGACCATATAATTTTGATTCCTTACATCCCTCTTGTACGAACAAGTGTTCATTAGCTGCCTAAACTCCTCTCCCCATTTGCAGTTTGTTTCTCAGACTCAACATATCTCAAAATGTTTCACAATTCCCATTTTTTCAACAAATAATTATTGAGCATCTTTCATGGACTCAAACTGACCCAGGCTTCAGTATTTGGTGAGTACAAATGTGAATCATTTTGAGCAGCATGCCACATCTTAGTACTTGAGCATTCCATTTGTTTGATGACCTGGAAAAGGACTTCTGGTCTTCTCTCTAGATCTCTTTTTCAGATCTTTTCTCTAGGAATCCTTCAACGGGGTGAAGAGTGTTCTCGTATAACCAGAACAGCAGCTAGTTGCAACCCTGGAGTCCTCTGATTTCATCTCCTTGGTGTAGAACTCTCTTTCATTCTATTATCTGCTGTCCTACAGACTAGGGGCCACTGACAGTCTCCTCTGAGCCGCTGACCTCCAACTTGCTTCTGTCCTTTGATTGGCAAGAAAATACCCTCTACTTCTCATGACCAGCTCCTTCTGGAGAGGGTCTTCTGGCAGAGTTCTAAGGCCCCTGATGATGCAGTTTCTGGACATGAGGGAGGCTGAGATGTCAGATTACTGGATACAGTCTCACACCATCTTTGTGATCCATGTCCTCTTTGATATACTCAGCCTGGTACTCAAACTGGCCCAATGAACCTCACCTTCTGGTTTCTCTAGATGGTGTTTTCTCCGGATGGCCTCCTAGTTTCTTTCTAGATTCTGACCCTCAGGGAATCATAATCCATCAGCAGTACAGTACATGTTTGAACCCTGTCTGGGGATGGTGTTAAGTTCTTTCTTACAGGAGAGGAGACTGGGTGTTCATTTTGGTTTCTCCAATATTATTCTGGGGAAATTAGGAATTACATCAAAACAGAGATGTTAAGGTAGGCGCCAATGCTAGAGATAAAGAGAAATACTTCCTAATTATAGTATCCTAATTATAAATGCAGTGGTGTGCTCTTAAATAAATACATAAAAAATGTCTCTCTCTTTTTTTTTTCTTTTTTCTTTCTTTCTTCTTCTTTTTTTTTTTTTTTTACAAAGCCCTGATTTGTTACATTTGCCAATTTCCATAGTGTCATTATTCCCATTATGACTGATTTCAATCTACCACCATGATATCATTGAATGTGGATTAGGGGTAAATGTGTACAATCAGCTTGAAGCCAATGCAACCCAGCTTCAGCAAACCTCTACATAAAAGAGTCAGTCCCTCAGGAGCAGATCATGATGCTAAATCTGTGTGCCCTCAATAACATAGTATAAAAAATACATAAGCAAAAACTGGGATATCTAAAAGGAGAAAGAGACAAATACACAATAATTGTCCGACATGTTTTGCGTGAGATTTTGCACGTCTTATAAGAGATGATGAACATGCAGAAAAAATTAATTAGTGATTAACACTCCAAGTAGCAAACTTGACCTAGTTGACATATTAACAACACTATACATGATAGCAGAATGCATATTCCTTTAAAGTTATGTGGAGCTGTCAGCCATACAAAAACTTTAGGAGATACATCTCACTGTGCTCATGACTGCAATAAGAGGATTCAGTGATTGTCACTTAGAGAAGTTAGTCCTGTTGACAAATATTTCTAGGGTCTGTTTTATATCTCTATTCCTCGGGCTATGAAGAAAGGGTTCAGCATGGGGGTAACTGCCATATACATGACCAAAGCAATTATGTCCTTGTCATTTGAGTCCCATGATGAGGAGAAAAAGTAAATACCTGCAAGTGTCCCATAGTATAAAGACAACATAAAGAGATGGGAACCACAGGTAGAAAAGGCTTTAGAGAGTCACTTGGTGGAGGAGACACTCAAGACGGTGGTATCTCTACAGATATATGAACTCAAAACACTAATCAAAGGAGGAATGAAAAGCATTCCTTCCTCAGTGAAAATGACCAAGTCATTGAGGGAGATATTTGAGGAGCTCACCTTCAGAAGCACAGGGAGGTCACAGAAGAAGTGGAGGATGCTATTGTCAGCACAGAAGGACACTTGGGCCAAGAGTAGAGTGTGCATCAGGTGATGTGCACAACTGAAGACCCAGGACCCAACTACTAGTGAGATGTACAGCTCAGCCTCATGAGGGTGGTGTAGTAGAGTGGCTGACAGATGGCCACATATCTGTCATATGCCATCACTCCAAGAAGGAAATGGTCAAGAGAACCAAAAACGATGAAAAACCACAACTGAGAAATGCACCCCACGTAAGAGATGGATTGTTGCTGACTCTTCACGTTCATGAGCATCTTTGGAACTGTGACAGATGAAAGGGAAATGTTACAGAAGGCCAAGTGGCTGAGGAAGAAGTACATAGGGATGTGGAGGCAAGAGTCTAGCTTGATAAGCAGGATGATGAGCTGGTTCCTCAGCACCATGGTCAGGTATCTGCTCAGGAACAGGGTGAAGAACATGTCCTGCTGCCCTGGCAGGATGGGGATCCCCAGGAGGAGGAACTCACACATGCTGCTCTGGTTCTCAGGCCTCATAGTGCTCTTCTATGTGCTGGGTATGAAGAAGGTTTGTGAATCTCAGGAATGTAGAAAGGATGATCAAGACCATTACTTCTCATACTGTAATTCTCAGGGAAAACACTGAATTTTTAAATGCACTCCTATTAATTTCTCACACCCGTGGACACATACATCATTGCTCTACCTATTCTGGCTACAGGAAAATATCACACCCCCAAACAGCCAACAAGACCTCATTACACAGAAGCGAGAGGGTGTTCACTGTTTTATTCAACCATTATTTATTGAACAATGAGTCTGAACATGTACCTCTGCTAAAGACTGAGGTTGCAGCGGTGAACAGAAAGACAAGGTCCCTGCTCTCTGTGAATGTAGAACTTGATGAGCGTAGAGGGGTAGTTCACTACAGCAAGACAGAGCCAAACCATAATAGTTAACTGTGGCAGATATGGTAGATCAGCCTCAGCAAACTAGTATCAGTTGTTCCTTCCTTACAGTAACGTGAGACTCCAGTACTGAGGCAGTGTTGGAGCATTGTCACACTCCTCCTGTGAACCTGACCGGGTCCTATTGATCTACAGCTATATACTCATGGTCACTCTAGAAGTGAGTGGTCATTTAAAGCTGCTTGAGGCTAGAATAGCTCCCAAACCAGAAGAGTCCACAAACTATCTTTCATAAGAACGGTGAGCACTTTGGTGAACATTTAGGTGCTAGCCTAAGGACTTAACCTATATTTCATAATTAAATCCAGACATCAGCTTTACATTCTCAGATTTTGGAAAACCTTTCCAGCTGCAATAAGTATGGATGTTCTTTCACCTATGTTAGCTCTGGGGAAATAGAAACATAAATAATATAAATTCCCCATATATATATATAAATTACCATTTTCTGTAGGTTAATCTAAAATTCTGTGTCATCAGAGCTCGTGATTTCAACCACTACACACGAAAACTTCCCCCATCATTGGTTAGGAATGCCAGACATCGTGTTCCTTTAGGGCTGCAAAGAAGCCAAAGTAATTCATAATGTTCTTAATGGACTGCTTAGATGGTTCCCTACATTTAAATTGATCTATTTTCCAATCGATAAAAGACTCTCACAGTCATTATCATTTATTCAAATAATAAATATTTACTGAGGGTGTGCAAGTTTCATGAGACATGTGTAATTCCTTCTATTTTATAGATTGAAAACTGAGGCCAAAACGTTAAAGGATTTTCCTGAGGTCTTGCCACCATTCGCTTGGGTTTCTGCACTCTAACTTCACACAGCATGACACTAATTTGTCTTTCTTTGGGATACTAAGTGAAGAGTTAAAGCACCCTGAGTGACTCAGTCACATTCAGATATGTGAAAATCACCGCAGATCCATTTCAGAAGGTGGGAGCTGCTTGAAGCTTTGGTTATCTCAGTCAATGCTACTCCAGAGGATGGTACAGAAGAAAATATTTGAGCCATGGGGGAAAATCAGAAGACCCAAACAAACATACAAATCATGCACACACAGACACACACACAGACACACACACACACACTTCTGATTTGAGGATTCTGGTCACCTGTGACCAGTTCCCATGCTAAGGTAAGGATAGCCAGTATGTGGTTCAGTTCATAAACATTGTATACATACATAATAGCAATAAATAACACACAAACTGATAAATATGCAGCACCTAATGATGTACCATTCACCCACAAACACACTCACAATGCACATCAATACACCTGACACATGATACACCTGGTAAACACTTAACACACCACGTATACACAACTCTTTGCTATACACACACATCACCAAAAACACACAGGTCATACACAATGCAAAAATCTCACAAGAAATACACACCAAAAACACACATGCACATCCAGTCACACACTTACCACAACAAGCAGCACACACACTCCTATTACTGAGAGGCATGCTTTGGCACTACACTTCCTGGGAGAGGGCAGTCAATGGGGGGCAGTTAAGCTAATTCACAGTCATTAAACCACCAACATCCCATGCACGTGGTAACATACACGTGGTAACATACACAGACAAAAGCAAACAATACACATTCCTGTTCTCACATATGAGTGTGTCACCCATAAACATAGGTCACAAATACACTAGCACCCTTCTGAGTAGAGGTCTGGCACTATTTGACCTGGGTTCCTTGAGGAAGTCAGGCACCTTCTGCTCCAGCAGCAGGGACAAAAGTCTCACTCCCAATGCTGAGCTCTTATCCGCTCAGCTGTGGTGCAAGCATTTAAGATTGTAGACATGAATCGTGACTCCTTAATCACACATTAGGAGGCTGATAACTTGGTCCACACACTGAAACCGAGCCCAGATTGAGTCTAACTCAGGAAAAGAATCAGCCTGTGAGTCAGATACATATTACACACACACACACACGCAACTATCCAACAACACGAACACAAGCATACACGCACATGCACACATACATTGCACCCAAGAATACAAATGCACACAAACTTATAACCACATGGGTAGATCCACTGCCAATTGCAGATTCTCAGCTCCCTCTGACCTGTGCTTGTCCTTGGAGTCTTCAGACACCTTCTGTTCCAGACTGTTGTCCAAATCCTCAGCTTCTCATCAGGAGACACAGTATCTAGATAAATATAAGAAATATCTGTGGCCTCAGAACTTGCATAGTTCTTAACCAGCTTCGGAGAAATGAGTCAAAAGATAACGTTTTAATTACCAGCAAGAAGACTGAAACAAAGTCCTTAAGCTTCTGGCTAACTTCTCACTGCCTTTGGGAGGCTGTGTGTCCAGGACCCTGAGGGGCTGGAGTTCCAGGGGATGGTGTCCCTGATGCCAGCAATGCCCTGGACTCCTTTCTTCTTGGGCCTGGTTCCAGCTGGGACAAAGGATTTTTTAACTTTTTGCATTGAAATTATTTCAGACTTATAGAAAAGTTGTAAAAATGATACAGAGAATTCTTTAACACACTTCACCCAAATTTCCCCAATGGTTAACACTTTACTATGTTTACTTATGTATGTATGTATGTATATTTTAGGCTTAGATTTGAGGCATGTCTACCACAGTGAATATTATCAGAAGGCAAATAATATCAATTTTTCTAATTACTAGTGATTTTATCCTTGATCAGTTGGTTAAGATGGTGCCTGCCAGGTTATCTAACTGTAAAGTTACTGTACTGTAAAGCTACTGTTACTATGTAAAATTACTGTACTGTATAGTTACTGTTTTGTCCTTTGTAATTAATAGTAAAGTTACTCTTTTAGTAAATAGTAAAGTTACTATTTTAAACTTTGTAATTAATAAGTATCATTTTGGTAGATATTTTGAGACTACATAACCATAGCTTTTTTCCTTTTAAAATCTCACTCACTATATTTAACATCCGTTGGTCATTCTTATATTAAAAAATTCTTGCACTTGTCATGGCCAAATGGTGATTTTCTATTTCTATCATTTATTGTACATTTATCAGTTGTATTTTCCTTTAAGAAGGAACTTTCCAGAAGCTCCCACTCATTTTTTTTCTCACTGATTTATTTATATCGTCATGGACTCATGGATTCTTATTTATTTGAGTCATAACGCATTCTTGGTGTTATTCATTTTGAAGCTCAAATTATTCCAGATTTGGCCAGTGGGATCCCCTTTGAGCTGGTCTTGTGTCCCCATGATTCACTGAGCACTTTTTACCTTCAGCTTGACTCACTCTGTACATGCTAATCTGTAATGAACGTCTCCTTGAACGCTTGAAAGAATATACCGCTGTCATGCTTGGTGTACGTACCTTTGTTTTGAAATGTTATATAACTGTGCTGAAAATTGCTCTTCTCCAGAGTGTTTTCTTCCCTTGTGAAGGCTGCTAATCCCAGGCCACCGTCCTCAGTTTGGCTCAAATAAAATGCTCTTCTTTTCTTTACTATAGAATGATTATCAATTATTTGCATTGACACCCCAATAGTGAGCAATCATTACCTTTTTCACAATATGTTTACTTATTTGCTGAATCTTTGAATACACGTTAAGTGATTTCAGAATCTCAAACTAACATCACTGTTAATGAAAAACTAATTGCAGCTCACAAACTTTGTTTACAGTTTTTATTTACTGAGAGAGTATATAGACAAAATTCTGTGTTCAAGAATTACTTAGGTAGTATATTATTTTCCCCATTAGTCTAATTATGGTATTCATTTGAAAGATAGTCAGGTTCATTTGTTTTCTTATATTCTACTTTGCTTTATTTCCCACCCTCTTCTATTTTTTTCTGGTAGGTAAATGATAACAGTCAAAACTATATAAATAAATATACTCATCTTCCCATCTTTTCTACCCCATTCCCACCCACCTCCTGTAGGTAAGCAATTTCAGTAGTTTCTGATTTACTCTTCTTATATTCCTTTTTGCTCAAATTGGCAGGTACATATATGTTTTATATCCCTTTCATTTTTCAACAAAAATTAGCTGCTATAGATGCATTTCCACACACTGCTTTTTTTCCATATATCAATCTATCCTGGAAATACCTCCCTATTGATTCATAGATATCCTTGTCATTATGTTTTCATAGCTGCAAAGTACTTAATTGCATTGATGTTCCAGAGAGTTTCCTTTTGGAGTCCTAAAATGAGATAGTGGTGATGAATGTACTAAATGCCACTGAAATGGTTAAAATGGTAAATTGCATGTTGTATATATTATAATACAATAAAAAATATTTAAGGAGAAAGCAAGAAGTAATCTCAACGTAAAGCACTGAAAAGATATAATAATAATGTATGATTAATAAGTTAATAGATGTCTTAAATAGAAAATATGTAGCAATATGGAAAATATAAACTCTAATATATCATGATGGCATTAGATGTTAATAGATCAAATTCTCCAGAAACATGATTATTAGTCTACGTAAAAACAGCAAAACCTTGGGGCCAGCCTGTTGGTATAGTGATTAATTTTGGCATGCTCAGCTTCAGTGGCCCGGGATCCTGGGTTTGGATCCCATGTGTGGACCTACATCATTCATCAAGCCGTGCTGTGGTGGTGACCCACATACAAAATGGAGGAAGATTGGCACAGACGTTATCTCAGGGCCATTCTTCGTCAAGCAAAAAGAGGAAGATTGGCAATAGATATTAGCTCAGGGCCAATCTTCCTCACAAAAAAATCAAACAACAAAAACCAAAAAAAACCCAGCAAAACCTAACTTGACACTGTTAACAATGGACACTTCACAGACGTAAGGACATGGAAGAATTTAAAGTAAAGTAATGGAAAACAATTACCATGTAAACACCAACCAAAAGAAAGACAATACGGCTATCCTAATATTGGAAGATGTAAATGAGTTGTTAAGGTAGTGGCAATTGCTAGAGATAAGAGAAATATCTCCTAGTTATAATTATAATCTCCTACCTATAAATGCAGTGGTGTGCTGTTAAACGACTAAAAAATGGCTCCCTTTCTCTTTTTTTTACAATGTTTTGCTTTGTGGCATTTGCCAATTTCCATAGTGTCATTGTTCCCATTATGGCTGATTTCAATCTATCAACATGATGTCATTGAATGTGGAGTTGGGAAGAGATGTGTAAAATCAACTTGAAGCCAACGCAAGCAAGCTTCAGCACACCACTACATAAAAGAATCAATCCGCAAGGACCAGATTGTGATGTTAAATCTGTATGTCCTCAATAACATAATATAAAAAATACATAAGCAGAAACTGACATATCTAAAAGGAGAAAAAGGCAAATCCACAATTATAATTGTGTGATATGTTTTGCCTAAGATTTTGTATATATCTTATAAGAGATGATGATTAAACAGAAAAAATTAATTAGGGATAAAGAATACTTAACATTTCAAGTAGCAAACGACCTAGTTAGCATATTAATACTATACATAAAAGCAGAATGCATCTTCTTTTAAATTTATATGCAGATTCAATCATGCAATAATTTTAGGAGATCCATCTCACTGTGCTCATGGCTGCAATGAAAAGATTTAGTGATTGTCACTTAAAGAAATTAGCCCTATTGACAACTATTTCTAGAGCCTTTTTTATATCTCTGTTCCTCAGGCTATAGATAAAAGGGTTTAGCATGGGGGTAACTACTGTATACATGACTGAAGCAATTATAGCTTTGTCATTAGAGTCCCATGATGATGAGGAGTAGTAAACACCTACAAGTGTCCCATAGTATAATGACACAACAAAGAGATGAGAGCCACAGGTAGAAAAGGCTTTAAAGAGTCTCTTAGTGGAGGGGACCCTCAGGACAGTGGTCCCTATATGGATATATGATCCCAAGATACTACTCAAAGGCAAGAAGAAAAACATTCCTCCCTCAGTAAAGATGATCAGTTCATTGAGGGAGGTGTCAGAGCAGCTCATCTTTAGAAGCGCAGGGAGGTCACAGAAGAAGTGGGTGATGGTATTGTCAGCACTGAAGGACAGTTGGACCAAGAGAAGTGTGTGCAATAGGGCATGTGCACAACTGAAGAACCAGGACCCAGCTACTAACGAGACACACAGCTCCTGCCTCATGACAGTGGTGTAGTGGAGTGGCTGACAGATGGCCGCATACCTGTCATATGCCATCACTGCAAGAAGAAAATTGTCAAGACATCCAAAAACTATGAAAAACCACAACTGAGAAATGCACCCAACATAGGAGATGGATTGTTGCTGAACCTTCATGTTCATGAGCATCTTTGGAACTGTGACAGATGAAAGGGAAATATCAGAGAAGGCTAAGTGGCTGAGGAAGAAGTACATGGGGGTGTGGAGGTGAGAGTCCAGCCTGATGAGCAGGATGATGAGCAGGTTTCCCGGGACAGTGGTCAGGTACACGCCCAGGAACAGGGCAAAGAATAAGCCATGCTGCTCCAGAGGGATGGGGAGCCCCAGGAGGAGGAACTCAGACACTCTGCTCTGGTTCTCAGGCCGCATAATGCTCTTCTCTATGCTGGGGATGAAGAAGGTTTGGGAATCTCAGAAACCTAAAAAGGATGATCAGGACCATCACATCTCATATTGTAATTCTCTGGAAAAACAAATAATTTTTAACTATACTCCACTTAATTTCTCACACCTGTGGATGCATGCATCTTCGCTCTACCCAGTCTGGATCCTGGAAACCATCACACCCTAAAGCAGCCAACAACACCTCATTGCACAGAAGTAAGAGGGTGTTCCCTGTTTCCTTGAACCATTGTGTATTGAACATTGAGTCTGTATAGGGACTCTACTAAGGACAAAGAATTCAGCAGAGAACAGAAAGGCAAGCTTCCTGCCCTCTGTGAGTGCAGATCTTGATGAGCATAAAGGAATAAATCCCTACACCAAGACAGAGCCAAGTCATAATAATCCTCTGTGGTAGAAATAGTAGATGAGCCTCCACAAACCGGTATCAGTTGCTTCTGCCTTAAAGTAATGTGAGACTTCATTGCTGAGGTGGCATTTTTGGAGCTTTGTCACACTCCTCCTGTGAACCTGGATGGGTCCTGTTGACCTACAGCTGTAAACTCATGGTTACTCTAGAAGTGGGTGGTCATTTATAGCCACTCAATGCCAGAATAGCTTCCAAACCAGAATAGTACACAAACTATCTTTCATAAGAATGGTGAAAAATTTGGTGAACTTTTGGGTACTAGGCTAATGGCTTCACCTACATTTCCTAATTAAATCCAGATAGCAACGTTACATTCCTAGATTTAACGAATGTTCACAGCAGCACTAAGAATTAATGTTTTTCACCTATTTTAGCTCTTAAGAAATAGAGACATAAATATATAAACTATCTATATCACCATGTTCTGTGGGTTAAAGATTATAAAATGTTGACTACTTCATGCAGTTCTATCTAACATATTTGTGTGATCAGAGCCCGGGCTCTTAACTACTATACTTGGAAACTTCCCCCATCAATGATTAGGTGTGCCAGACACTATGTGTTGCTTTAGGGTTGCAAAGAAGCCAAAGTAGTTCAAAATGTTCTACTTCCCTGCCTGGATTGTTCCCTTCATTTATATTGATGTATTTTCCAATTGACAAAAGACTCTCACATTTGTTATCATTTATTCAAACAAATATTTATTGAGGGCCTGTAAGTTTCATGAGACAAGTGTAATTCCTTCCATTTTACAGATTGAAAACTGAGGCCAGAGAGCTAAGTGGTTTTCCTAAGATCTCACCAACCTTTGGTGGGGGTTCTGCACTCTAATGTCACACAGCATGACGCCTAATGTGTTTTTCCTGGGACATTAAGTGAATGGTTAAAATCTCTGAGTGACTCAGTCACACTCAGGTATATGAAAATCATAGCAGACCCATTTCAGAAACAGGGAGTTGCTTGAAGCTTTGGTTTATCTCAGTCAATGGTGGTCCAGATGAAGGGCACTGAAGGAAATATTTGTGTCGTGGGGGGAAAATCAGAAGCCCCAAACACACATACAAATCACACATAGTCATACACTCTGCTGATGAGGATTCTAGTCACCTGTGACCAGTTCCCATCCTAAAGGAAGGATAGCCAATACGTGGTTCAGTTCATAAACATCATATACTTATATATAAGTCAAAAATAACATGCAAAGTGAGACATAGACAGCACAAAATGATGTACCATCCAGCCACAAACACACTTGCAATGCACATCAACATACCTGACACATGACACACCTGGTAAACATGTAACTCACCGTATGTACATAACTCATCACTATATATACACATCACCAAAAACACACAAGGCCACACACAATGCAAAAATTTCATAGGAAACATACACCAACAACCCACATACACACACAGCCACACACTCATCACAACAAGCAGCACAGACACTCCAATTACTGAGAGGTGTGCTTTGGGCCCCTCTGACCCATACCCTCCCCAGGGGAGTGTAGTCAGCATAGGGCAGTGAAGCCTATTCACACAGGCACATCAATAAACCACCAACAACCCATGCACATGGTAACATACACGTGGTAACATACACACTGACAAAATCAAACAATACACATTCTTGGTTTCATACATGAGTGTGCCACCCACCAACACAGCTCACACATACACTAGCACACACTGTTGCGCAGAGGTTTGGCCCTCCCTGACCTCAGCTCCTTGGGGAGGTCGATCTCACCAATGATCTCAATGATCTCACTCCCAATGCTGAGCTCTCATCTGCTCAGCTGTGATGCTTGTTCAGTGTGGGAAATGCACTTGTGGTAACAACAGGAGGCTAATGTGTAAGATCACAGGCATGAATCAGGAGCCCCTAAATCACCCTTTACTCGGTGGATAACTTGATCTACATGCACTAATAGGACACAGATTGGGTCAAACCAGGAAAAATATTAAGCTATGAGTCAGATACATAGTATACACACATGCACGCAACTATCATACAACACAAAGACAAGCATACACACATCCATGCACATACACACACACCCATGAACACAAATGCACACAAACCCACAACACACCAGCAGATTTATCACCAAGTGCAAATTTCCAGCTCCCTCTGACCTATGTTCTTTGTTGGTGAGTTCAGACACCTTCTGCTCCAGATTGTTGCCCAAATCCTCAGTTTCTCTTCAGGAGTCTTGGTATCCAGAAGAAAAGAAGAAATAAGTGTGGCCTCAGCACTTCTACAGATTTTCATGCTCCTTAACGAACTCTGGGGCAATGAACAAAAGGATAACATTTTAAGTACCAGCCAGAGGACAGAAACAAAGTCCCCAGGCTTCTGAGTCAGGGAGGACCCACTGTAGGCTAATTGGCCAAGTTTTTTCTGACCTTTTGGGAATGTGCAAGTCCAGGAGCAAGAGGGGACTGGAGTCTTAGGGGACAGTGTCCCTGACGCCAGCAATGCCTTTCTTCTTGGGCATGGTTCCAGTTGGGACAAAAGATTTTTAAAAAAGAGATATAATAATGGCTTTTTTACTAGGATATGGACAAATTTAAGGGCAACTATTAAGGGACAGTGAGACACCCAGGGCTAACAGCAGCGGGAAACAGATGCAAGAGGAGGGAGTGTTTATGAGAACCTGGTGAGACGTGTAGGGGTAGGAGAGGACCCCCAGACAGGAACTGCGGACAGTCACTGTCAACCCAGGGTCCTGTGGGGAGGAAAACAGAATAAATGCCCCAACCTCTCTCCTTCTGCATTTGATCCCTTGCTTGTGTTTCCATTGGCCAAATCCAAAGGGCCAGGAAGCCCAGTTGGTGCAGTTCATAAAGGTCAGACTCCTGAGAGAAAACAGGCTGGAGAAGGCTGGAGAATGGGCCTGGAGGGGCAAGTGGAGACTATCTAGCACACATTGGTGTAGACAACATCTTCTAGTTACATGTTTGTGTGCTAATTTGTGGGTGGCAAATATGCCAATACATACTATTCTGAAGACACGTTTCTTTTCTCCATGTAAAATTGCCTCTATAGTTTCATTATAGAGACTATAAATTGTTAAAGAGCAGGGATGACATTTTATAGAATTATTTTCCTTGTCCTGCCCGTGGTTTAGCAGTTCATATTCTGTCTCTGACAGAGGCTGCAAGAATATTTAGGAAGATCTTAATTGTCTGCCTGGATGCCAACGTTAAATTTAGTGATAGATCTGTAGGATATTCTATTCTCTCTTATTGAGTAATTGTGGACAAAGGATTTTTTAAACTTTTTATTTTGAAACCATTTAAGACTTACAGAAAAGTAAAAATTATACAAAAAATTCCCATCTACCTTTCACTCAGATTCCCCCAAAGTAATATTTAACCATGTTTGCTTAATTATTATGTAGATATTCATGTATCTCAGATTCAGGCTACAGATCTTTGGCAGGTACACCACAGTGAATATCATCAGAAGGTAGCTGACATCAATTTTTCCATTTATTGGTGATTTTAACCTTGCCAATTGATTAAGGTGGTATCTGCCAGATTTCTCTACTGTAAAGTTATTATTTTTATCTTTGAAATTAATAAATATGACTTGGGTGATAATTTGAGACTATATAAACATGGTATTCTTCTTTCAAATTTCAATAACTATTTAGAGCATCACACTAAACAAGAATCAGGTGATTCTTACCTGAAACAACTATTGTAATTATGGTGACCAAATCATGATTTTTCTCATTCCATCAATCATTCTATATGTATTAGTTCTCTGTAAGAGGGAAGTTTGCCTTCTCTTCCATTTATTTTATTATCAAGTTATTTATCTCATTATGGGTTCATGGATTTTCACTAAATCTCTGTCATAATCTATTACATTTGTTATTCTTTTTGAAGCTCAGATTATTCTAGATTTGGCCAGTGGGAGCCCCTTTGAGCTGGGTTGTCTGTCCCATTATTCGTTGAGCACTTCCTCATTTTCAGCCTCAGCAAAACTTTCCCAGATCATCTTTATATTTCCTGGCGCTGGCCCTGGAATCACCCATCTTTCTAGGTAAGTTGGGTTCCTCTTAGAGAAGAATGGTACTTAGAGAGAAAATTTGTTAGGTGTGTTCATTGCTTATAAGGCTTCTAGATCATCTCAGAAGATGCAGCTAGGAAATATATATAAAAGAAACACAGGAAGTATAAACAAGAAACCAATAGACCAATGGCAATTGTTAATCATAGAAGGTGAATGGGGGATGAGAATGGTATAAATATTTATATTTAATTCATAAATTGCAATATATTTATATATGTATGAAAAACCATAAGTTCAAACTGACACCTCCCATTCCAGTTTGACACCACAGAGTTCTTTCCAGTCTCTTCTTTTCCATGTATGTGACACCTTTCCCGATAGTGAGGAGTCATTCTCTTTTTCAACAATACTTTTACTTATTCACTGAATCCTGGAATACCTGTTAAGTAATTTCAGAATACTGAATCAATATCAATGTTGATGACAAAACTACTAACTGCAGTTCAACTTTTTTCATGTTTTTTTTTCT